AATAATAATAATAATAATAATAATAATAATAATAATAATAATAATAATAATAATAATAATAATAATAATAGATGAATCCTAAATGCCAAGAATGCTTACAATCACTCTATCATTTGGGTCACCAACAAGTTTCCGTTAAGAGCATGAAAGATCATCACAAGAATCACGGAGTGAGTAAACATGCAAGTTTAGCACTTGACTAACCTGACATATGGCCCACTCTGACACGTCAAAAATCTTGCTTTCAGCACATACAAAAGCACGAGGTATCTCCACCTATATGTGGCAAAAATGACATGTTAGGGGCCTTACGTACAAAACTATACACACATACATACACAAATTATACAGAGCAAAATTAAAAAAATAAAATTCAAAACAACAATATATGTATGTACTGGAAATAGAAACATGCAGAGTAAATTAGATCAGAAAGAAAGGGCGTATAAAATGTCGTACTAGCATGAATCTTAAGAGCACAAAAAGCCCACATGAATCTTGCTTTTATTGAAATCAGACAAGGAGAAAAGAAAGAGAAAGAGAAAGTCGAACAACAAAATGCAACCATTATCCATTCTTCACACGAATACAGATCTTCCAAGTCAGGATACTTTCATCAGGAAACCTTGACTGGATAAATCTCACCCTTAGTAAAAAGGCTTATATTATATCAATTAAAATCGCAATTTAAATTGCACATATCTGGTTTTTCAAATACTCTATGTGAGGTATAAATTCTTCATGAGATCTATGCATCCTGTCGAAAAAATATTGAACAATTAATAACTCAAGATTTGCAAAAAGGATAATAAAATCAGTTCCGATATAAAATGTTTGCTTGCCAAAATCCAGAAGAAAGAAAGTCCCTTTAGTAAACATGCAGAACATAATTTTCTCAGCAAGAAAACCCAGACAATAAAGTCTTGGTTTAAGGCAAATCTTAATATGGGACTAGACAAACAGAATATATTCCAATCAACAATACAAAGAGCATACAACACCATTTAATGGAAACAAATGAAGCACACAGTTCAGATATGCTACCTTTTGGGGCTGATCAAACACCAGAGAACCTTTATACTCTACCCACCCGTCGCCATCTTTGGCTTGGTGATACTGACAACAATCCTGTAAGCATGACATCATGGTCACTAGTCTACAAAGAATATAAAAGTGTAGCAAGCATATATCAACACATTCACTACTTTTTAAATATCATACCTGGCACCATCTAGCTTTGGCCTTGGTTCTGTTTGTGCAAACCCAGACATGTGAATTCCCACACTTTGTGCACTGTATCCGCCTCGACTCCTCAGAACAAAAGTCAGTGGTATTCTGTAATGTTAAACATCTTTAGAGTTCATTTATAACCACTTAACAGAACAAGTAGCCAAGAAACAAATATTAAGGAAACAGAAAAGTAAAAAAACAAAAACCCATGAAAGACATTCTTCCATTTGTTAAAAAAAAACAAAATCAAATAACTGAAACTTTCCCTTCGGTAGTGACTCATATAACAGTTAGCTAGTAACTATAGTCATAAAGAACAGCTGCACATAGAATATTTCAAAATTTGCACAAATGTATCATCATAAAATATGCAAACCACAGTTGATCAAAATATAATTTTCCTTCATATTATAAAACATAAAATACCAACCTTTCATGTTGGTCAAATATAAGCGAATGAAACTAAATGATTATTAAGCTACCTGCCATGTACTTTACCTGATAAGACGTGCTAGCTGATTTTTGCAAAACGCACTTAGATCCTTCTTTTCTAAGTTGCTCGTCGTAGTCCCTCTTTTTCACAGCATCAGAAAGGACCTGACATCACCAACATAAACAGCCATATTTCAGGGATTTATGTTAGTCCCTGCTCGTCTTTATTTTCAGCTAGGATGCACTGTTCGTGTAAGCAAAAATGCTTCCCGACACAAACGGACACTTTTAGGATAGAAGAAGATATTGAACAACTCAAAGTATTGATTATTCAGTTTTTGCTGTGTTTACAAATACAAAACTACATCCCTATTTATAAGAACTAAAAACAACTACCTAGTGACTTTCCTAGAAATTACTTAAGCTGAAAAATCAGCCCATAATGGCTGCTATGAAGGTGCTGTGCAGCTGCAAGGAATTTGCATTGCTATTGCAATGAAGCTGCAAGGAAACAGCAGATTATATATTTCTTACAATTCTTCCCCTAATCATGCTGCTCTTCCTTGTTTCCTATCATTCCAATCTTGGTCCTCAGCTCCATGAACCGAAGACGGCCGAGTGGCTTGGTAAGGATGTCTGCGAGCTGCCGTCCGGATTCGACAAACTCCAAAACAATATGTCCTTCATCGACACAATCCCTGATGAAGTGAAAACGGGTATCGATGTGCTTGCTCCGGTCATGGAGGACTGGATTTTTTGCAAGGGCAATGGCGGGCTGGTTGTCCACCATCAGAGCTGGTGGACGAGCTTCCTCGCCGGTCAGCTCGCCCAGCAACCTACGCAGCCAGACCGCCTGACATGCCGCTGTGGCTGCCGCCACGTACTCCGCCTCGCACGTAGACAACGCCACGATCTTCTGTTTCAACGACTGCCATGAGATTGGGGCTGATCCAAGGAAGACGAGCACACCGGAGGTGCTCTTCCGCCCATCAATGTCGCCTGCCATGTCTGCATCGCTGAAAACCGTGAGCCGCAGCCCACTTCCACCGCCGGTCTTGGGAAAGATGATGCCCTGGTCCACCGTCCCCTTGACATAGCGCAACAGCCGCTTTACCGCAGCCCAATGATCCTCTCGGGGGTCCTCCATGAAACGACTGACATAGCCCACGGCGAATGCAATATCTGGCCTCGTGTGGACTAGATAGCGTAGCCCGCCGACGATACTCCGGTAGAGTGTTGCATCCACCTTTTCCGCGGTGCTGGCTTTCGTCAGTTTCAGCCGCTCCTCCATTGGAGTCGCGCATGACTTGCAGTCAGCCATGCCGCTCCGCTCCAACAGCTTCCCCGCATACGCACGCTGGCAGAGAGTGATGGAGTCTCTCCCCTGCTTCACCTCGATGCCGAGGTAGTAGGAGAGCTGCCCGAGATCGCTCATGCGGAAACGAGCTGCCATCTCGTGCTTGAAACCGTTGATGTCCCCTTCTCGTGCCCCGGTGATGATCAAGTCATCTACATACACGCCGACGACGAGCTCCTCCTTCCCCCGTCGTCGCGTGTAGAGCGCGTGCTCAGTCTCGCAGCGCGTGAACCCAAGCGTACCCAGAGTGGCATCGAGCTTGGCGTTCCACGCTCGCGGGGCTTGTCGCAACCCATAGAGTGCCTTCCGCAGCCGTAGCACCTTGTGCTCCTTTCCCTTGACGACGAAGCCCGGGGCTTGCTTGACGAAAACAGTCTCCGCTAGCTCTCCATTTAGGAAGGCCGATTTCACGTCCAGGTGATGAATGCGCCAGTCCTTTGCTGCCGCCATGGCTAGCAGTAGGCGAACTGACTCCATGCGCGCCACTGGTGCAAAAACTTCCTCAAAGTCGATGCCCTCTCGCTGGACGAAACCGCGAGCAACGAGGCGCGCCTTGTGCTTGACTATGGCGCCACACTCGTCCCGCTTGACTTTGTAGACCCATTTGAGCCCGATTGGATGACAGCCTGGAGGTGGATCGACGAGCTCCCACGTCTCATTTTCCTCGATCGCCTTCATCTCCTCTAGCATAGCTCGTCTCCAATTGACATCTCCCTCGGCCTGCGCGAAAGTCGATGGCTCCTCTGCGCTGACGAGGAGCAGCTCCTGATCATCGAGTAATCGGCTCGCTAAGCCTGGTACCGCCGAGTTGCCAACAAGGTTGTCCATCCTGCGAAACCTCACCCCCTCGCCGTCGTGGAAGGCATCCACATACTCGTCGATGTCGCTTGGAGGAGAGGCGAACTCAACTGTCGTCGGAGATGTCCCCTGTCCTGCCGCAGTAGGGGAATGTGGTGAGGGTGTGTGTGCAGCCACTGGTGGAGATTCTTCGCCCGTGCCCGTCATGGCAGGACTTTGCGGCTCATCCGACGCCGCCACAGCTGTTGGACTTGGCGCGTCCGCAGCTGGCTCCTCTACTCCCACATCTCCTCCTCCGTGGATCACCAAATGCTCGATGACGAACGTACCGCCAACGCCACGGGCTTCCCCCGTGCCAGGATTCTCCCAATCCCAGGCCGCCATTTCGTCGAACACCACATCCCGCGAAACCACCACCTTGCCTCCACGTGGATCGTAGAGCCGATAGGCCTTGCTCCCCTCCTCGTAGCCTAGGAACACCATCGGTGTGCTCCTATCCTCAAGCTTGGACATGAAGGGCTTCGTCTTCTTCACATGGCCAATGCACCCAAACGTCCTTAGAAACGAGACGTCGGGCTGCCTACCATGCCAAGCTTCGAATGGCGTCATGCCCTTCAGGGCCTTTGTGGGCGCACGGTTGAGGATGAACACTGCCGTGCTCACAGCCTCTCCCCAGAACTCCGCTGGCATGCCCTTTGCCTTCATCATGCTTCGGGCCATGCCCACCACGGTCTGATTCCGCCGCTCCACTACACCGTTTTGCTGCGGTGAGTACGGCGCAGTGTGATGGCGCACCACCCCCTGGTTTGCACAGTACGCAGCGAATTCCACCGATGTGAACTCGCCACCGCGATCCGTCCTCAGCACGCGCAGCCGTTTCCCAGACTCTACCTCGGCTCGCGCCTGGAACCGCTTGATTGCCTCTGCTGCCTGATCCTTACTCGTCAGGAGCTGCAGCCACATGAAACGGCTACAGTCATCCACGAGCAGCAGGAAGTAGCGCCGTCCGCCATGCGTAGCCGGTGTGATCGGCCCGCAGAGGTCGCCGTGGACGAGCTCTAGGACGTCCGCCGCACGATACTTGGCCGCCTTTGGGAAGGGCAGCCGCTTCTGCTTCCCTGCCAGGCAGCTGTCGCACAGCTCGCCTGCGTGCTCGATGTGCGGGAGCCCGCGCACCATCTTCCTCAGCCGGCCGAGTGCGTCGAAGTTCAAATGGCCGAAACGAGCATGCCATAGCCATGGCTCTTCGGTGTGTCGTACTGCCAAGCACACTGGCTGCTCCACCTTCAAGTCGAGGAGGTAGAGGCGGTTCCGGGAACGCTGGACCTTGGCCAACAGCCGCTGGTCTCGGTCCCTGAGCTTTAGCACGCCGCCTTTGACAAGCACCTCACAGCCGTGCTCGTCCAACTGCCCGATGCTGACGATGCTTGAACGCAACTGCGGGATATAGTACACATCCGTCAATGCGCGGTGCTCGCCGTTCTGGCACCGGAAGATGACGTTGCCGCGACCTCGAATCTCCACCTTTGAGCCGTCTCCGAACTTCACCGTCCCCGTCACGCCGTCATCAAGCTCGGAGAAGGCCTCCTTGGAGCCGGTCATGTGGTTGCTGGCGCCGGAGTCTAGGTACCACCTCTGCTCCATGCCACCGCCCATTCGTCCAAGGTGGACTTGGGCACTTGACTCGTCGAGGTGAACGACCTGTAGTGCCTTCCCCTGCTCTGCAACCGCCGCCTTGACTTCCTCTAACTCTGGCTCAACGTCGTGCAACTTGCAGGTCGTTGCCATTAGAAGAGTTGGCTCCTCGTCGTCTACCTGCGCGAGGTGTGCCTCCCTCTTCTCCTTCTTGGGATTCTTGCAATCCCGGGCCCAGTGTCCTGTCTTCCCGCAGCGTCGACAAGTGTCCTTGTCGATCGGACGCACGTTGTCGCCGTCCTTCTTCTTCTGCGGGGCCTTGCTACGACGCTTGCCGTAGCCGCCACGGCTGGAGGAGCCTTCCCCGGGCCGCCTCTCGCGCATACGAGCTGCCCATTCTTCCTCGGTCAGCAGTAACTTGCCGCTGGTAGTTATCGTCGCCGTCTCCACACGGTCATCGACCGCCCGCAAGCGCCCAGTCACATCCTCAATCGTGAGGGTGGACATGTCGATCAACGTCTCGATGGAGAGCGCGATCTGGGCGTACTTAGGTGGCACGACACGCAAGTATTTCGCGACCGCCTCCTCGTCGGTGATGGTGACGCCGTGCGCCGCCAGTTGACTGACGAGCGACTGCAGACGGAGCGAGAAATCCTCCACTGCCTCGCCGTCGCGGAACACCAGCGCCTCATACTCCCGCCGCAGCTGCTGCGCCTTCGCCTTCTTTGCGCGATCAGACCCGATGCGCATGGCCTTGAGGGCGTCCCAAGCAGCCTTTGCGGAGTCCTTTACGCCCAGCGACTCCACGTACTCGTGAGGCACAGCGGATAGAATCGCTTCCATCGCTGCACAGTCCTCTTCTTCATCCTCGGTGCCTTCTTCAATGGCCCGCCATAGCTTACGCGCACGCAACTTGACCTTCATCAGCACCGCCCACTCGCCATAGTTTGTGCGTGTGAGGACCGGCCAGTTGGCCCCGCCAACGTCCCGTACGGTCCTATGGATGATGACCTCCTGGCGCGGTGAAGCGTGTGCACCGCTCCCTTGCACCATCGACGCAGCATCTTGGCTTGCCATGGCTCTGATACCACTTGTTAGTCCCTGCTCGTCTTTAATTTCAGCTAGGATGCACTGTTCGTGTAAGCAAAAATGCTTCCCGACACAAACGGACACTTTTAGGATAGAAGAAGATATTGAACAACTCAAAGTATTGATTATTCAGTTTTTGCTGTGTTTACAAATACAAAACTACATCCCTATTTATAAGAACTAAAAACAACTACCTAGTGACTTTCCTAGAAATTACTTAAGCTGAAAAATCAGCCCATAATGGCTGCTATGAAGGTGCTGTGCAGCTGCAAGGAATTTGCATTGCTATTGCAATGAAGCTGCAAGGAAACAGCAGATTATATATTTCTTACAATTTAATTTATCCATAAGACAAAGAAAGAAAGAAAAAAAAAAAATCGACTTACCTCATATGCACATTGAAGTTTTTTAAACGACTCACTTGCTTGTGGACTTCCCATATTTTTGTCTGGGTGCACAAGCATGGCCTGGACAAATGCAACACTGGTTTTATCAAGAGATACCCCAACAGTGATACTCAGATGATTGCACCAGCATAGAATTTTGAAAACAGTATGCTCCTCGATCATATAAACAACAGACATAGGCCGTGCAGGCAATTAGGGCCAGCACCGCAACATGACAAATGAGCTAGTGCCCTTACAATGCCTTAAATATATTGAGGCAATAAGCAAGACATGAAAGTTGTGGATATCACCTCATTAAAATGAAATAAAATCAATGAAATCTCACACAGAATGTATAAACGGTACTTCAAAATTTCTTTATAATATTTAGGCTAATATGCATACAAGTATATATAAAAATAATTTCTGCATGATGGAAAAAAAGTGGGCCAACACACCTTCCTACGGTATTCCTTCTTCAATAACAAGACATCAATTTTTTTCTGCTGAGGAAACCCCAGGGCCTCATAGTGATTTCCACTATTTAAAATCCTTTTCATCTCAGTTATGGAATCAGCATCTTCTTTAACCACTTTCTTAGCAACAGCTTCTTTTGCCTTTTCAACAAAAGATGAAGGACTAGCAGGTTTGCTGGCTGATTTATATGAGTGGATCTTTTCTTTCTCTTCTTCTCCTTCTACTTCAGTAGGGGCAGAATATTTACATTCAGTGGAGAAATCATCTTCTGTAAAGGAAACAGATTCTTTTTGCTCCTCAAAATGACTGCTTTCACTCAGATTATCACACCGTTTGATCAAGTAGTCCAATACATCATTTGATAAGAAGGCAAGGTTAACCGCAAGAAAAACTCCAACCCATCCTACGCGTACTTTGACACAATAAATAGCATATAGGGTCGCCATGAACACCAGCAGTCTTGCATGGTTTAATGAAAATAGATAGCCTACATTCCCAGAATAATGCTGGCGTCAGCAGGTTCAAGAAGACAAAAGTACAAGCATTGGAATTAAGGTTCAGGACAGTAAAAAGGATTTATACAAAGNCTCAGACATCCGAAAGAGATAGCCAAGAGACCCAAGACAGTGTAAAACGTCATCATTCAATGATAACTAAACTCCCAGACTTCATGAATAATTAGAGAAGAAAAAGAAGAAGGCATTGAGAATGAACAAGATAAATCTGAGAGAGTACCAGAATGGAAAAGATAGCCAAAAGAATCTCAAACATTATTTTTTTAGAATTAAATGAATACATTGTGCACAGGAATAAGGGTTGAAATGGATTTGTTGTAAGTGAAAAGGGCATGCATATAGACACAATTAACTTGAGTCCAAATAATTCGAGAAAATAAATACATACCCCCAACTATGAACAAGGTACCCGTTATCCAAAAGTTAGCATACATCCACAAAACTAAAATGGCAACCAGCCCCACGATAAAAAGTCCAGGAGTGTAGCCTAAATATTGAACAGCAGCCCCAGCCGCACCCTGAAAACACATTTACAATAACTGGTGAGCTAAAAACAAATAAATCAGTTAAAATGTTGGAAGAAGCCACCAAGAACTTTTACAGAGAGTAATTTCTGTTTCAAAATAATCTCAACAATAGGCAAAATTTTAGCATTACGTGAGTCAGAACATGTTCTACTACAAATGAGTAAATGTCTAAAAACGAGAGAAATAGAAAGAACAAAGAAAGAGGCGAGCGGACGAACATATGTGGGTGAAAGCCTCAGAGTACTCGAGTAATGGCTAAAGTCTGTTTGAAAATGATCAAGATAATGGGACGACATTTTTGAATATAACCAACTATTCACTTTGAGCAGAAATGTCGATCAATAGGTAGTGGAGCATATGCAGATAATTACCGTAAAATGGATATTTCTGAGAAGAGAAAATCATTATTTGAGTAAAAACATCAAGATGAGAGTACGTGACATCCAAAATAGCAGAACATAAAATCCAGTTCAGCAGTTACAATTAGAAACACGTGCATATAATGAAGAAACAGAGAAGATGTCACATAAATTTCCTCATGAAAGAAAATAGAATGCATTAGATCAAGATTGCAGGGTTGAAATGTTCCATTCAAATAGTACAAGAATAAGACTTAACCAAACATAAGCGGAAGCATTCCACATCTGAGACCCACCAAGTGATTTAAAGTAAGTTACAATGTCTCAGTTCCAACTCAGGTAAGCCTAAGAGTATCTGCAGGTACATACATATAACAAGTCCACTGTCCAATATCTCACATCTGGAACACATAGTTTAAATTCCATCCTGAAGTCGGGAAGCTATTTGGAGAAAGAATTTCTTTGTCACTCAAGTAGAACTGTAAGGAACTTATTGAATTTACAGATTTTTTCAAGGGTGGATGCTAGGAACTGGCCAAACATACCGACATGCCTCAAGCATAATGTTGCAATCTCATGCTTCTATATGGCAACGGCTAACTACAAGCATTAAATCATTCCATACCTTCTGTTGAAATGAAAATAAACAACGGATCTAAAGATCATGCTTTTTACTCTTTGATAAGGGTGCCTTCCATATCACCTATTGACAGTCAATGTTTAAGGAACCTAATGACCAAAAGTTAGAATACCCCAAGCAACTTGCTTTCCGTTGTTATATTGATTTACATGTTAAGGACCTGTATGTTCATCAGAGCACATGAAGCTACACTAACGTAATTTGAAATTCAAACTGTTTTTTGACGGGTATAATTTCCTAATGCCTAGTGCAACAATGTCCACAG